TTTAGCAGCCGAGAGCACCCTGAAGGAAGAAGTTATCAAGCACCAGGCAACTATTGACTTACAGAAAGTTCAACTGGCCCAGGCACAACAAGAAATCACTTTACTTCAAACTCAACGGGCAGTTCTTCAGAGTTGCGCTGGTGACGTTAAAAATATGTTAACCGGTGTTCTTGACTCCCATGATCCCTTCCTAACCCTCACTATTCGTCAGCATCTCCAGGCGAAACTCCTTCCGGCGATCACTATCCTAAGTGAAATGAAGGGTGTCTCGGAGAAGCATGTTCTTCCGAGACAAGGGGGAGAGGAAGGTATGTCCAAACAAGAACCGAAGGGTAATGTAGCTTCGGGTTCTGGTAAACATGTCCTAGTTGAGAGCGAATCAGAATCAGATGAAACCATTACTGAAGCTCTTCAACGCAAGAAACGGGACAGAGAGCTTGATGAAACATTGAAGATAGCTCGTGAGGCAGAAGCCAGAGAAAGGAAAATCCGGGAGGATGAGGAGGCAATTCAAGCTAAAAAGACTCTGTTCCCAGATTGGGACAGAGACACACTCATCACTCAAGCAATTGAGTTTCCTTCTATTTATTGGTTGGAACCGATTGCATCTTTTGAGTGTGAAAACTCCAAAGACTCGCAGTTCGACATGCCCATTACGCGTAAAGCCTTCACTTTTCACTGCTTTGATGTCACTGCAAACGTCCCTCATCCGAACCCGAAGGTTGACAGGGAGCTTATCGATTTCTATCTGAAATTCGGTCAACCTCAGTACTTGACTTGGAGTGCCCAGAAAATTATAAGAGTCAAGGTACTGAAACCAACCCAGGCTGGGAAATTTGTAAACGTCAATTTCAAAATCAACAGAGGAACTGCCAACACCGAACATCTTATTTCTCTGGCAGATCTTCCCAGTCTGAACCCCCACGATTGGATCTTGCTATACAACATTCTTCTCTCCAACCAGAGAGAATATGAACCAATTCTTTCTCATCTTAAAAGAATGTTGGCTTCCTATGTCCATGAGCTAGCCACTATGGATCAGGAAATAGCAAAGGTGATGAATAAGAAACCGACTGTCAAGCCCACTTCCAAAACCGGAGATGTCCATAAAATGAAGTTGGGGCAGATTGATTCTTCCAATCTGACAGTTATGTTCACAAGGGGGGATAAGCACAAATTTCTGTTTGCGTTGGTAGACAAGCATCTGTTCTCTACAGAGTGTCTGGAGCACATCATCAATATCATTCACCGATGCAAACAGAACTCAACAGCAGATAAGAAGAACTTTACAGATATGCTTCGTTGGTATATTACCTTCAGGCATCATATTCTAGCTTTGATACCGAAAATTTTTCAAACGGTAAAGAAGCCATCTGCTTTGAAGACAGACTGAACATCTCGCCCCAAATTGACGCAAAGGGGGAGATTGTTGGGCTTAGAAGATTGCGTCTTTTGGGCTTGTTTGTTTTTATTTCTTTGTATTACGGTTTGGGCCTGTCCAACCATATGTCTTTTATGCTTTGTATATAAGCTTATGCTTGCATGCATATTAGGTCAAGGTTTTGAGAGATCTGAGAATACGATATTTTCCAGACGACTAAAGGTTTATTTGATAATACTTGTAACCTTCCAATCCTCTACAGTTGATGTTCTTGATCGAGCTCTTCTGAGGATTTTGTTTTAATCATTCGACACGTTTGATTCAATCTTGTTCTATTATTTTACTGTGTTTGAACCGTCATTGTTTATTTACTTGTTCAAGATCTAATCGATCTTTATAGATTAAAAGACTCTATAATCTCATCATAGACCATCATTGTCCTCAGAGTTATGGAGAAACTTAAAACTCCCATGATCCAAGATGCGATGGTATCATTAATTTTAACTTTTTGTACCTCATGTGTTATTGTTGCTGATACAGCAAAATATTCTTTTGTTGGATCAATCCCAAAGGCTATGTTTCGTGATGTGTCGGTGTCTATCAAGATTCTGGAGGGATACAGGAAAATTCCTGTTACAGGGTTTTATCCCTTGACTTCAGAAATGCAAAGCAGATAAACTCAAGAAGGGAGGTAAAAAAGGTAGGAAGAAAAACGGAAAGAAAATAGAGGGGCAAGACAGGCCATCTGCTCGAACTTAAACTCCTAAGAAAAGGAAAGGTTAGACCGAGCCTCTTACACCAAAAAGGCGAAAGTTCAAAAGGCCATCTTGCAAGATCAAGTTCCTCACTCCATCTGAAAGAAAAAAATTTGCATTTTGATACTCAGTTAGATGTCCGTAATGAGGAAGAACCACTTGTTCGTAATGAGGAGGAACCACCTGTTTCTAATGAGGAGGAACCACTAGTTCGTAATGAGTAGGAAGAGCATGTTCGCAATGAAGATGTTACATCTAACCCTGCGGTAAGTTGTAACAACCCATTATTTCAAGTCTATGTAAATCAAACTTGTTCAAATGAAAGTCTAAACTACAATCGTGTACAAGTAAATTAATATCATAACAATAATACAATAAGAACTCTAGATACCATGAATACATACTTTGTAAATCATACTTAATTATAAGTTATGAACACTTACATTGAAAACTATACATTTATCACTCAATATACAAGTCAAGTTATGTCAAGGGATTAAATTTTAAAGAACAAAATGACACACCACATTAGTTCACGCTCCAAGAACATCTAGACTACAGGTTCACAGTCCAAAGTATTAGATAAAGGAGTGTTCACGGTTAGGACAAACTATGAACCCTCTTAAGGATTCAAACCATAAACAACTTTAGGCATGAAAGTCAAACCGTGAACACCATTTATAAATGAAAGAAAACTGTAAACCCTTCACCAATTGATTTTTAGACCATAAACACTTCATATTTGGGAACATTTTGACCGTGAACACATCAAATGTCTTCATAATCTTATCTAAAGTTGACTTCCCAATGTGATTACACTGTAAACCTTATATTCATCGCCTTATGAGTTTCCTTCATATTTAAGGAACAAATGAATTCATTTGGCACTTACAGTAAACTCATTTCACACATATACTCTGTAAACACATAGCAAATCCTTCGTATCTACAAGTAGTTACCCAGAAACCTTCAAACTCTCATAAGAACTTCTTCATAATTTGTAAGTAGCCTATACAATTTAGTGTGTATTACCTTATTAAATTATTAATTATCTAATTTATACATGTAATTATGTGTAATATATTTTTAGGATACAGTTAATCACACGTATTCTATATCGGGAATCATCGCAACCACATCGAAACCAACCAGGAACTCACACACGAGGTGAGTTCATACCCCTACATTTTCATGATTTTTCAGTGTTTTAGGGGGGATACAAGTGTAACACAAGAAATTTGTGTTAATATATAAATGTTTTTAATATCTATTAATTGTTGCCGTTAATAAAATTATATATATATATATATATATATATATATATATATATATATATATATATATATATATATATATATATGTTATAATTAGGATTCAACAGGCTTAGAATTGATAATTTGATTCCATATCTTGTTCCTTGTTTGGTTGTGGGCTTGGAGTAGAATTATTTATTTGACTGTCTGTGTAATCAAAATTTTATAAATATTATATTTATATAAGAATAAATTCATTTTTAAAAACCGTGAAACAAAAATATAATTTTTCAAACTATTGTAATACTATTCAGGTATAAATACTAAATTACACAGGATAACTGTATCACAGGTTTTCAACTTAAACTTACCGAATTATTTACAATACAAAAGTGTATTAGGTATATAAACTATAATGGATGTAGTTTATGGAACTTACATATCAGTTTGAAAGATCAGATTTCAATAAGGAAAATAAACATACAAATTATAAGAGATACAGATTTTAGATCTTGTATACTACTTTACATATTTAGGATAACTTACGGATAGCAAACCTGTATACTATATTAAATATAGCTTATCAGAAAAGATTACAGTTTATCTATTACAAAGTAAGTTTTCATTATTCTACACGTAGCCGTTAATTTAGCACTTGTGAGACACACTTCAAGCACTTATCTAAGTACCAACCAAGTCCTGAAATTATAACCAGAGTCTCCTAGAGGGAGAGCATGACACTTGTGTATAGATGTATACGAGACTGAAAATCCCACACCAGAGCTACTTGCAACAACATGGGCGACAGACCTGTGGTGAAAAATGTCATGCCGATTGCGACGCCCGAAGAACGTCGTGTTTAGGGCATCTTAGGTCATCAAGCATGGTTATAATAACTCATAATTTGGTATTTAACTATACAATTAGTGTATGAATAAGTAACCAACTTCACATACTTTTATTAAATAATAAAACTATAATACAGTATTTTACAAGTAGAGCTAATAAATCTAGATAGTTACAATTATACTATGTTCATACGAGTACAAACATAGACTACTATTCCAGTATAGAGAAAACATACTTTTCATGGTTTTAATGTGAATTAAAAGTACATTATACTAGTTCAGAGTACAATAATAATTAAAGGTTTGAGTATAACATATTACAATAGAAAATATAGGATTTTTTTTTGGGAAAAACACACTTACAGTTTTAAGGAACAAACAAAAGATTTCAATTACAAACATGCTTATGAACTCACCAACTTAATTCTTGACATCTTTTGAAAACTACTTGTTTTCTCAAGGAATCAATAGACAGGTACATCCATGGATGTTTGAGAATATCTAGCTTCATTGACTCATGTATTTTAACTTCTTGGTGTCATGTATACAATGACTTCAATACATATGTAAAAACTTATACTTTTTCAATACATGGTTGTTGTACTTTGATTACAATGTAACGGTTGTGATACTGTACATGACATCATCCGCCCCTGAACGTTTCCGCCATTCCGATTTGGGGTGTGGCATTACTCTTACTTACAACGATTTCTTTCCATCTCCTCATCCTTCACCCAAAACTACAACCACTTCCACATCAATAATGATTGCACCTTGTCCCCCAACAGCCTCTTCTCAAACTAAAACTAGTATTCATTTATCTACTCCACTCTTCTCTGATTTTATTACTCCACCAACAACGTCTGTAGAACCTCCTGTTTTGGTCAATGCATCTTATGCGGGGGCTGACACTTCAGGTTTTACAATGTCTCATATCTCACCACCCATTTCCTCTCTTTGCCAAGATAACCCAGATATGATCTATGGGGATGGTGAAGATGACATGGTAGGATTCACTTTTAGTCCATTCACCATTAGGAGTGAGAGTGATGAAAAAGCTCCAGTAATGAAGGGGCAACTCAAAGCCATCCATGAAAATCTTGACTCATTTCTTAAGGCTTCAAAACCCTCCTCAACTGAAGATTACTCCCAAGCTTCAGTAAAGTCTATACTTGAAACTCTCACCAAATAGCACTCCTCAAATCTTGAAAATATGAATAAAGCAGTGGATGCCTCTGCTAGTGTCTGCAATGATACGCAAAAAAAAGTTGATAAACTAATTTTTGATGCTACAACTTTCATGAACAACTTCTAGACATCCTTTGAATCTAATACAACGTAAGCTAATGAAGCCATTACTAATATGGGCTCCTCTCTTAAAGAGGAAAGGGCAAAACTTCAAGAAGTCCGAACTGGCATTAATTCTGATCATGGTGAGTTCAAATCCTCCATTTATTCTCAAACATCCAAGCTGTAGGAAGACCTTGCAATGGAAAGAAAGATAATGGACTCTCTAGCTATCAAGACTGAAAGAGTTAAAGTTCTAACTGTCAAGCTAGTACAGGCTGAGTAACAAGTCCAGGATTTGGTAATTGAGAGGGAAATAATGAAAAGTTGTATCACCCATATTACTAGCCTACTCTAAGATATCATTGATATTAGGGACTCAATGATCACCATTTCAGTTATAAAACATCTTGCCGAACTGCTAAGGCATGTGTTCGCAATGCTTCACCACTTGGAGGGTGTTCCGGAATCCTCTAGCATTCCAAGACAAGGGAGAGATCTACCAAAGAAGTATTCATCCAAGGCAACTACATCAGTCAAGCCAACTGTTAAAAGCGAATATAAGCCTAAAGGAAAACAAAAGATTTTCTCTGAAGATCCAATCATTGATAATATTGAAAAGAAGGCCTAGATGAAGAAGAACTCGAAAGGCGAAAGGCTCGTGAAGTTGAGTTAGATGAAAATCAGATAATTGTTCGAGAGGCTGAAGCCAAGGGAAATGTAGAAAGAGAAGCTCAGGTAACACTTGAAAGCACAACACACTTGTTTCCTATGTGGACACTGCAGCGAATTCAGAGTGAAGTTGTTGACTCTCCAATCAATATTGGTTAGAATTAGTTGTTTCGTTCGAACTTCAGAATACTGAAGACTCACAACTGTATCTTCTAATAACTTTAAAGGAATTCAATTTTTGCTCTTTTTTCAAAATTATGAATGTCCCCTCTACTGATAATAGCACTGATCAACTACTCTTCACATTTATCTCAAACACATGAGGCCATAATACGAGACATGGAGTGCATGCAATATAACAACAGTGAAGGTCACTGGACCAATTAAGACTGACAGCTTCCCAAATGCAAAATGCATAGTTGTCAAAGATTCTGTGAGCCAAGTTCATGAATTCACTCTCGCAGACCTGTCGTGTATCAACCCATATGATTAGATCATGCTCTACAACTTGTTGTTGAGAGATGAGCAGAAGTACGAGACTGTTATTGCTCACCTCAAGCTCAAAATTATTTCGTATATTCAAGAGGTGGGTAATATGGATGTAGAGATTACTGTCGTATTGCGACGGAAGGCTTCTGTTGTTCCTAAAAGATCTCCTTAAGGATTTGAGAAGTTAAAGCTTCGAAAAATCTACAAAGAAAGTTGGTATGTGGTATTTCAAGCAAGGGATGGAAATGATTATGAATTTCACAAAGCATGTTTCTTTCTCCCTAATACACATTTATACAAAACCTCCTATCTTGAATTCATTTTGGACCTGGTGAACAGATTCAAGCGCAATAGTGTGAGTGATAAAAAGTTATTCTCGGACATGATTTGTTGGTATGTCCAAGTTCGCAAGGCATTATTGAGCATAATTCCAAAGGTATTTAAAGTGCAAAAGCGAATACATAATTGATGTTCTCTATCCTCAAATGATGCAAAGGGGGAGATTGTCAGGATAATTATGTTACATCATTAGGCCTTATGTATAGTTTATTTTGTAAACGAGTTGGTCTTGTCCTCTTGTATTTATTGACTAGGGTTTGAGTATTTAATGTGCATGTATGCATTGCATTTTGGTAACTCTTATATTATCTCTTGTAACCCTAATCATGCCTATACAGTAGCAATTCTTCATCGAGTTATTCTAACATGTGACTTTTGAATCATTCAACATACTTTGAATCATCGTTGTGTTCTTGTTTCAATATGTTTGAATCTTATCGATCATTCAATGATTAATATCCCTACATCAAGCTAAAATTTCATTTTTAACACAATCAAAACATCTATTTATCTTTTAAAAAACCATTTAGAAGTATCACATAACAAAACAGTTATCAAAGTACAGTCTCAAATTCATAAAGTTGCAGAAAACATAGGTGTATGCACTGCGATCAAGCCGAGCCCTTTTCTTTTGAACCATAAGTACCTGAAACCATAAACAAATTGTAAGCACAAAGTTTAGTGAGTTCCCCAAAATACCATATACCATACATATCATACATGCAATAGAGAGTGCTATCTGCCAACTATAGCCTTGCCATTATGCCATGAGCCATATCATGGTCTTACAATTGTGCCACAAGTTGTATCATGGTCTTTCCTTGCCAAGCTTGGGGCTAATACCCTGGGAATTACAGGAAAGTGCCAGGAGCCACCACCTGGTCATCCATGAAAGTATCACAAAGATAATTAGCGTATAATTCTACAACTAACTATCTACTTAACTGTCAGGGTCCGAACCCTGGTCTTGCATACAGATTTTCGAAGAGCCACCTTCGGGTCAATCACAAAAATGCCAAGGCCTACCCCTTGGTCATCCAATAATACATAAGCCAATGGGTCGACATTAGTGCCTTTGACCCATATATACAATGAGGATACTCACCTTAGACAGTTGAAAACCACAGGATAAATCTCTGACTGTAGATCCGCTAAAATCCCTACGCTATCAATCACAAAAGAATATCAATTAATAATTGGATCCCGAGTCACACTAACAGTCCAAATTAGGGTAAAAGACCTTTTTACCCTTTCCCGTACATGGCCAAGGCCAAGGTCCAACCCAATTGTCCAAAAGCCCAAAATCTAAAATAGTCACCGCAAGCCCAATGTGGCCCAATTTTCCAACTTAGGCCCAAATATCTTTCATGGGCCTTAAACCAAAGTCCATTAAAATATCTACAACCAAACAATTAAATTATGATGGCCCAACGTAGTCAACAAGATTTTCCAACTTCCTCATTCAGCTCTTAAAGGGTTAAGACTTCACTTCAAAACTTAGATCTGACTTCTTTAAGATAGTTTATCATGTAAAGTTGCCAACTTCACGTGCATGCATGGCTTAATGTGGCTCTTAGAGCTCAAAATATCTTAATAAATGACTTAACGTATGCATGATACCACCAATACCATAAAGCTTTCACCTTTAAGCTTAAGGTACTCTCCAAAAATACAGATCTACAAGATTTAACTTCTAAAATGGCCTTACCCCATCAAGACCAACCACAAAGGGACAAAAAATTGAGTGTTACATAACTCATGACCACCCATTCCAAAGGTTGTAAAACTACCTAACACCTAAACCTATATACCTACTCCACTTCCCATGTAGCATGTTGTTAATTATAGGCAATACATGACCCTTACTAACCTAAATCAATGAAAAAGGTATGTCGTGCTCTTGTTTTAGGTGACACTTGGGTGCTTACATGTTTCTCTATTACCAGGGTTAGTATTGAATGATTTATGTGCCTTTTGTTAATAGAAGATTGATTATGATGTTTTTTAAGATTCAGTGACGGCCCAATTAGTGGCAAACAGACACAACCAACAACCAAGCATTGATGTTTCTGCCATTTTTTACTTGATTGTCAAATTGGAAACCATTTACATTATTCTCAACATTGTGATCTTAAGAATTTTTCCTATTCACTAGCTTGACATAAAAAATTCCTTTCTTCACTATCACCCTTAGGAAACAGTATGTATGCATCAACTTTTGACTTCCATGATTCTAGATTTGTTGACTATGTCTATCCTCTTAAAAGGCATATGGAATAATTCTTGTTTCCCTTGGTCCATCTAGCATATTATATTCAAAATAATTTTTAGTTCTGATTCCTTTAATAGAGTGTTAGCGCATGAATTTCATGTGATGTGCTTATTTTGATTACTAGTCTCCATGAGGGTAGTATTGAGGGTTGTAGGTTATAACAGCAATTTACTTGTGAAATTTCACATAACACTTATGGTTATGTGAAATCAAAAATGGATCTATGTTTTTTCAATATTAATAGCAACATACTTGTGAAACAAAAAGTAACAAAGATAGGAAACATACGTTTTAGTGTATTCAAAAATAATAACTCTTGAGTTCTTCAGTGCTCCATAGAAAACGAGAGCCAAATGTATGGATGCCACTAATGGTTCACACCCAAAACCCTAGGACACTAGAAAAACAAGATAAGAGAGTATAAAGGAAGACAATTTCGTTCTCCACCTTCTAGGTACGAGAAGCCACGAAAATTAGATGCCCAATGGTCCTATTTGTAGTCTAGGTAATTTGCAGATAAATCCAGATTTAAATAATTAAAAAATACATTTAATCTTACTTCAAATCCCTTACTTATCTTCAACCACGAGGCTTATGGAAACACTAGAAAGGCTCCTTAAAACCGTCCATGCCTTGGATGGTTCTTGAATTGTTTTTTTTTATTTAACTATTTAACAATTACAATTCACCCTTGCACCTTTAATTAATTCCAATTACTTCCGAAGAACTCTAGATTAATTTTGATTAATATTTAACTAATTATATCTATATTAAATTAATTTGTTAATCACATAATAAATTAACAAATCATTTCATTTCTCTTTTTGTGGCAATTGCGACAATTGTCATTGGTCACCGATTGTAAAAAGGACTCTGAAAATGATAAGTATCTAAACACATGGCTTAAAACCTCGGTGTGTGTGTGTGTGTGTGTGTGTGTATATATATATATATATATATATATATATATATATATATATATATATGAGAAAATAGTCCAAAATAAATGTAAATCACAAGATTAAGTGCATAAAAAGTTATGTTAACTAGTATAAAAGGATAGCATATTTAGAAAGTAAGTTAGAGGCGATTTCAAGGATATAAACTTCGTAAGAATCTAGATTCAATTGGAGGAGTAATGATTTTTATAAAAAGTAGAATCAGTGGCATCAATATATTTACAATGTTAAAAAAGTACGAAGATATTGGTTGAGTATTGCCTAGTGTCACCAAAAGTAAAATCGTAGTACATCTCGAAGTGAGAACATCAAGACAAATAACACTGAAAATAGAGTTCGTATGAAGACGATATGATTTTCAGAAAATCATTAAATTTTGCTCTGTTAGGCCAATGGGTGTAAATACAAAAACTAGCTGAAACAACATAAAGGAAAGTTGCAACACTAGTTGAGACCATCCCATAATCATAAAGAGGGTAAAGATTAGAGCTCGTACGAAAAAGATACAACTTTTACAAAATCATTGTTTTATGCGCGAAGTGCATGCCTTGTTTCATGCGCACGTCTGACACCCAGATTCATCGAGATACGAGAGACGTGGACCACCAGGAAAGCGACACATGGAAGGTTGCGAATGGATCCACGAAGCATATGCATGTCGCACATATATATTTGGACCACGCGCATGCCTAAAATCAATCCTATAAGCAAACACATTTACTTCTCAAATTCTTCATACCTCAAAGTCTTTTTCTTTCTCTCTAAATCGATCCAGAATACTCTCTAACTCCCGAGATGTCTAGAAGTTCCCGATGCGATAACTTGAGTTTTTTTAATCACGTTCTTAATGTGAGTTTCACGGCCCCACTTTTACAGTTTTCAAATGTTATATGGGGCAGGGGGGATACATGCTATAAAACTATTTCAATGATTTCTACAAAAAGATTATTACTTGAAATATGACAATATTTTTAAAATTCCATTCAAAAGTATAATATTATGCTTGGTAGATACCATGCATAAGCTTTGAATATGATATTATGCTTAATCGTTGTAAAGCCTAACATTATACTCGAGGATTAGACCTAGTTGTTATGCTA